AAACCTTAGATTGTTTTGGTTATTTTCTATGAGCTTGTGGATATGCTCGCCCCTGGCAGCTTTTAGAGCCTGTCTATAGCTGGACATACTGTTTTTCCACGCAATTCTAAAAACTTCCAAGTTAGTTTTTCTCCATTTGCGCTCAAGACTACGAGTTTCTTTCTTGAGAGAATGGGTATTACTGTTGTACCATGGTGCAGTACGTTTTTCTCTAACCTTTTTCAATTTGTTGGGGGCAACAGCTTCTAATGTATTAGAGAAGATAGTGCCCATGTTGCTAGTCATTTCATCTAGTTCATGTATACTTATGGGAACACAGAGCAGTTGAGATAATTCAGGCAGGTTATTTGTGAATCTGTCTTTGGTGACTGGAACAATAGTTCTTCCTGGGCGATAACGCGGAGCCATATAGTTAATATCAGTAATATGCAGCATGCACGATACAAGGAAGTGGTCAGTAACATCATCATTTTGAGGTACGATATCTATATCAGTAAGATCGATTCCATGCGATAAAATTAAATCTAGCGTATGATTAAAATGATGAGTGGGCCCAGTGACTTTTTGCTTGACGCCGTGGCGGCGGTGTTGCAGTCTCACGGGGCTCATATGCTTATAACAGTAGCTTGGTGGAGTAGACTCATTTAGACCAATATAATAATTTGGTTTTAGCCAGGTTTCAGTCAAGCAGGTTATATCAAAACTATTATCTGTGATAATTTCATTTACAATAACTGCTTTTGGTGCGAGTGATCTAATGTTTAGGAGCCCAAACTTGAAAAATAGTTTTTGTTCTTTTATTTAAAATTTTTCTGCTTTTAATCACGATCAGATTTTTTCTAGAGCCTGCATTAAATTTATATTTTGACCTCACTATTCGGGGAACATACACAGTCTTTATAGATTGGACAGCGCAAGTATTTCTATCATTTAAGTGGGTAGAACAAAAGCCATCATAGCAGTTATTTGAGAATTGACTTACTAGTCATGTGGAGTGTAGCGTCCTGGAGATGTTGTCTGATAGGAGTTCTGCTCCGACTCTGCTGGGGTGCAGGCCATCAGCACGAAAAAGCCTAGAACGCTCCCAGAAAAGGTTCCAATTATTAACAAAGAGCAGTTTCTGTTCTTTACACCATGACAATAACCATTCATTTAAAGCAAAAAGTCTACTGAACCTTTCGTTTCCTCATCGATACGTGGCACAATGATCGTCATCACGGGAGATGTGCTGTGTACCATCTCGATCAAGCTCCTGAAGTTCCTCTTCAATGTCTCTTGTCGCCGCAGCTTGGTGTCCTTAACCCCCGCCGTGCAGCATGACCGCTCTGGGGCTCTCGTCACCCTTCAGGATCGCGGGTAGCTGCGCAGAAACATCGAGAACACGAGCACCAGGGAAACAGTGAATGTGCACTTTACCTTCAGCTATCGTAGCACGGATGTGCCGGACGAGGGAGTCTCCAACGATCACAGCGTCGCGTTCCGTCTCGCGGAGGGGAGCGAAGCGGTTCCGGGTGGAGATCTCGAAGACCGGAGGCGGCGGAGGGGGAGAGATCATCGCCCGGGGTCTGGCTCGCGTCTTCCGCTGCGGGTGCACCCAGGGTCCGTGGTGTCCCGGCGCCGGAGTGAAGGACACCTGGGAAGATCGCGTCCTGGGTGCACAGGGCCTGTGCAGAGAAACACACGGGGTAGAGTTGGTGGGAGTGTTAGCGGTGTGCTATATACTTCCCCCGGACTTGTGAGCATCAGCCCCGGATGTTTCCAGCTCTCTGCTCCCTCAGCTGACCCTGCATCTCCACGTCCTCCAGCTCGAACTGCACCGAATGCAGCTCGAACGTGTCCTCCCCTACTCAAAGGTAGACACACATCCACCATTAAAGCAAGTAACAGTGAGTAAAACAATGGTAATGTGTGTAAATAGAGTATTAGCAATGTAAGCGAGATTAGTGGCAACCACACTGGCGATGCTAACGGGATATAAGCTAATAGCAGACTCGGGAAATCAAAATAAAACTAGTATAACAAGGCGCTCTGATTGTTTTTGTTGTAGAATACGATAGGGGATATATTCACACGTTATAGAAACGAAAATGATGGTGTATAAAATTGATATAAGGATAAAAAATAGATGATAAGGAATTAACTTGACAGAGCTCAGACTCAAAACACGCGGCAACAACAAACAGGAAGTGACGTAAATTTTCAGCAGCCTCCCTGTAAAACATAAGCCCGAGGCTTCTGCTGCCTCCACTTTCCTCCCTGCCTGAAACCAGCAGGCATGGGTGCTCCCTGTGGAAACCAAGCTCCCTCTGCAAAAGAAGCTCGAGTCTTTTGATGTTTCCACTTTCTTCTCTTCAGGGACCCAGCAGACACAGGTGCTCCATGTGGGTCCCTGGCAGCCATGGGAGCTCCCTGCTGGGCCCTTCCATGCACCAGTGCTACCCGAGGAGACCCGTCAGACCTGGGAGCTCCTTGTGGGTACCTGGCTCCCTGGGGCAAAAAGGTTTGATGAGGCTTCTGCTGCTTCCACTTTCCTCTCTTTGGGATCCTGTTGGGTACAGGTGCTCCCTGCATGAAAGAGGAGTGCCTCATTGTCATGATGGATAGGGCTCTTAGATAGTCATAAGACAGACAATACAGAAAAATAAATGATGCCAAGGTTGTGCAAGATTGCTTGTGTGTGCAACAAAAGAGAGGGAAGAGATGATGAGTTGAGTAAACACAAAAGAGCTTGGAAATTGGTTGACAGGTTGGTCACACTTTATTTTAAGGGCCAATTCTCGCACTATAGCATTCTTGTTATTATTTATTATTATTGTATTTAAAAAGAAGAAGAAGAAAAATAAATATTTAAACATTGGTCTCAAACACAATGTTGAAAATGCAAGAGACAGAGCCGACTAATTACATCGATGGCAGACTGCTTTCTTGTGGCAAGTATGATTATTACTGTGCCTCAAAAGGAAGTCTTAAAAGGATTATTCTCCTCAAAAA